GTGTGTGTGTGTGTGTGTGTGTGTGTGTGTGTGTGTATTACAAATGGCACAACACAAATGTGGAGATAAGAGGACAACTTGTGAGAGTTGGTTCTCTCCTTTCACATGGGTCCTGAGGATTGAACTCAGATTGTCAAGGTTGGCATAAAATGCCCTTAACCACTGACCCATCTTGTTGGCCCTAATTGGCATTTTTGAATTACCTATGCTTTGATGATAGAGTAACTAACTAATCATTTTCTGCCCATGAAAGTGGAAGAGCATTATCACTGTCCAAATGGCAGTGCTGCAGTCTATATAAATTACATACTGTATCATTTTCACATTTCTGTGTGATCACATATCTCTTTTCAGAAGTTAATAGTTAGAATACTAGACATGAACTGTGTCCTCACCTAAAATGAAAGTAACCCAGTAAAGATGTGTCATAGATGTATATACATATAATTTGAGTATATAGAAATAACTGGAACAGAGATAATAACAACAGTGGTTTAGAGTTGCAGGGAGCTTTTGTGAAAACTTGGTTTTCATTATAGCATCTGTTGTGGTATTATTTGCTTAATTAACTATGATTTTAATTTATTTCAATTTTAAGATGTTTATTTGTTTATTATTGTATTTATGTGTATATGATGTGTGTGTATCAGCAAAGTTTGCAGGAATTGAGTCTCTCCTTGAACCATGGAAGGTCAAACTCAGTTCATCAGCCTTTTGAGACAAGTTCTTTTGCTTACTGAAATATTTATTCAGTCATTGTTAGTTTTTGAATTTTTATTTTTATATATTTTAATTAAAATAGAATCACATTGCTTTGTTTATTTTCTTTCTTTGTTCCAGATGCCCTCCATCCAACCCCTACTATGCTCCTCTACTCTCAAACTGATACACTCTTTTTCCTTGATTATATAATGAACAAATACAGAGATACAATCTGCTGAGTCCATTTTTGTTGTTTGTGTGTGTATGGTTTCAAGGCTATCCATTCTGTATTAAAGAATCCATAAAGGGACTCACTCCTGGGAAAGGCTAGTTCCCCTTCTCCCAGCAGTCAATAATTGCCTGTAGTTCTTTGTCTAAAGAAATGAGTCTTCAAAATTTTCCCACTTCCACCTAAACGTGTCTATTGATATTGCCATGGCTCTGGTCTTGTTTATGCAGCTATTTCTAGGATAAACTGCTTCACAGCACACATCTCGGCATTCGGGCTCTTACAGTCTTTTCATGTCCTCTTCCATGATATTCCCTGAGCCATAAATGCAGGAGCTGTAATGTCCCTTCGGCTTGGACATTTCCTCTGCATTGTGCCCAGTTATGACTGTCTGTAATGGCCACTATTTGCTGTAAGAAGAAGCTTCTGTGATAAGGGTTGGTAGTTACACTTATCTGTGGGTATCAGGAAAAGATTTAGAATGTAGTTAGGAGTTATGCTTGCTGGTCTAGCAAAGTGACAGTAGTAAATTCTTTTCTAATATTTATGATTTCACTAGTTCCAGGTAGTTGGCCAGGTTTCTAGTAGCAGACATAATTTTCTTACTGTTGAGTGGTGTTAAAGACCAATTAGACAGCTGTTGGTTATCATTACCAATAGTGTGTACCACTTAGTGTACTTTTATGGATATCTGACCATGCTTGTCATTGTTGTAATACATAAGTGAAAAGGACTATTAATTGTTTCCCTCTCTTGAGAAATTGCATATTTTCTGGTACCATGAATGGTAGACTGCAGAAAGAAGAATTTCAGTTTAGATCAAGCATGACTTATCTGAATATTTTATATTAAGTGTTGTTAACAATGGGGTAATCTACAGCTTCAGTAGTCTAATGTGTTTGGGAGTCACCTGGACTAACCTGATCAACCATTGGAAAGATTTCTCACGCCTGTACTGGAATTTTTGTTTGTCTATAGTTTTGTGGGGAGAATAACAAATCAAACATATGCTTTGATGTTTATTTTGTGAAAAATGATTATTATATATTTATAATAATTCCTTTCCTTATGGTAATGTTACCATTATGATAAGATAGTCAATGTATCATATATTTGGATGGCTTGTGATATCTGGGATAAATATAATGTGCCAAGAAAGATAGTATTCTGTAAGTATAATTCCATGGTAACTAAAGGAAATAAGCATTTATGGAACTATTTGAAAAATATTTGGTAACTGAGTTGAACTAAAAGCTTACAGAAATAAGCAAGACATTTTGTAAACAAATACAAAATTCATAAAATCAGAAGTGTATAAGCAAATGAATATATAAGTAAATGTGATAAATTAAATAATTACTAAAGACTATGTTTAAGAACATACACTGTACATGCAATCCCATGACATTTTCTTTTACTTGTTATACAATGTGGCAGGACTTGAATACAAGGCTTAAAGCTGTAAAATTCTTAAACAAAAACATATGGGAAGATCTTCATTAAATAAGATTTTGGAATGATTTCTTGGATATGACACAAGAAAAATATATGGATAAGTTGAACTTAATTCAAATTATATTTTTTCATAATACAGATATCTATTTTATTAAAAAAGTTACAAACAGGTGGACTGTAAGGTCGTCTTACAAAATGACAAGAATGAAATCTATTGGAAAAAATGTACTTTTACAAATCTTCATAGGTAATTGTTCAATGTTTGTACTTGTTATTGGAGCATTGACTGTTCACTGATAAGCTTACAGTACAGTAGATCCTGAGAATAGCTTACAGGATTTATTTGCAGAGCCCTACTGCATTGATTTGAACAACTCCTAAACAGATGCCATAGTAAAGACAAGACATATATTACATTTAAAATTCATTTCTTATCCTAATAAGCAACATGCAATCTATTGAGGAAGCTAAAATAACTTTTAGTCCCTTTTCTTAAAATGTGCTGGAGAAACCATCTTTGAAATCACTTTCCCCTGATTCCTGTGATCCTAAGTGAATCCGAGTGAAATTTGCTGCTGAGGTCAATTACAATGAACACTGTGATAGAGAGAGAGGTTGACAGAAGGCAAAGAAGGGAAGGAAAGAAGAATATCCATAGGAAAGAAACACTGTATAAACAATCAATCTGCAGATAATTGAAGCCATCATGAATTATTTGATTCCTTTAGAATTTCACAGAGCTAGTAATGACGAGCCACAACCACTTACGCTACTCTGAATGAGCATTTGGGTTTAAAGTGCAAACTCAAGTTAAGTATTCACTTCCAGCAGTTTGTAAATGAGGAACAAATGTCTCACTTGCCACTACTCTTATACTCTCACCATCAAACCCCAAATTTAAGAAAAAGAACTTGCTTTGATGGAATCTGATCAGGAATCAAATGCAACATGATTTTTAAAAAGGAAATTAAAGTTTAATCATTTTTCTACTCATTAATTAATGGCCATGCTGACCAATAAGTTCATGAATGTCGATATCACTTTATTTGAACAGCACACACAATACAAATTTCAACTTGCCACACCCGTCCACAAACCATCACTGCATATAATAGAGCTTTGCTTGACAAAGTTATTGAACTATTATTATAGATCAAAAGCATAGTTTTGGTTTTGTTTTATTTAGAAGCATGTTCAAATGACTAAAGCTGGGCTCCTAAAATTGAGAACTTTGGTGCAGTAGGTGAGCTGCACTTACTAACTTCTGCAAATTAAAAGCACACAAATAAAACCAAATAAAAACCCCAAAACAAAATACTGTCAAATTTACACAATTGAAAAATAATTGCTAGAAAAAGCACTCGTCATCATGATGTTAAAACTGAACCAAAAGATTACTCATTGTAAGTTTTTTTTTCTTTTTCTATACCTGCGTTATTGGTAAAATGTTCAAGTTTTCAGACAAAATGTGCTGATTAGGTAAACAACATGGAAGGCAATGGCTATTAGAAAGCACATTTGCAAAAATAAAACACAGCCAGCCAGAGACTTCGCGCTATTTTTCCTCCTGTTACACAGATTTCTGTCTCTACTACGAACATGCTTCTAGAAAAATAACTAAAAAGCAGTTGTGATAGTGCAAGAAAACATTAACAAATATTGCTTTAAACTATTATTCAGAAAGACAAATATTAAGAACTAGAAATTGTACATGGTTTTATCTGAATTCAATTTTACATGTGCAGAAGTCTACCAGATGTCAATGACAAGCCTGATGGGCAAAGCTGAGCTATCTCTGTTTAGGTATACAATTAATTTACCATGGACACAATATCCCTTTTCAAAGGCATTGCTAAGTAGGTCATAACTAAGTTTAGAACTTTACAGAAAGAAAAATGTTACTGCTGCAATTCAATGCTGTAAATGAGATTAACACATGTGAAGGCCTGGTGGAATCAGACACTTAACTCTTCAGCTTCAAGTAAATGCTGTACAGCCAATCCCCAGTATCACCTGTAACTCTCAGAACTCGTTAATTACAAAATCTGCAGGTAAAATGTGATCTTTAGTTTCTTTTTACAACACTGCCACAAGTAAACAACGTCTCAAAGTATTAACCAACCATTTAAAGGAGAAAGATTTTACAAATAGGATGAAGCATTGGTATGAGGTAATATACAGAAGTGACCATTTGTTTAAGGCTCAATTTTTTCTCCATTATATCCTTCTTTTAAAAGGCATTGAGTAGGTAATACTGAGTTTGAGTAATAAATACAAGTTGAGAAACTGATTAACAAAATCAACTAACATATTAAAATTAACCCTTTCATATTAGCCATCAATAAGAACTTAAAAGCTATAAAAGGACGGATTGATAAAGAACAGATTTTAAATGTATGGTAAACGTATGAAGCATTACGGTTAAGGTCCGTGTATCTTGAGGGCCAAAGCCCTTATGCACTTCATTAGATGTATGGCAACATGCTGCGATAGAGACAGGTTTACCAAGGCTCAGTTCTGCAACCCAGGTTGTAAAGGTCTCCAAAGCAGCATCTGTGCAAATTTCCTCTGAGTTTTTATCTGCTCGGTACGGCCATGTTTGAGGTTTTCTTTTCTACTGGCCAACACAAGTTGTACAACACTGATCTTGCTTCTCCGGTAGGAATGAATAGTTCATTTGCCTGACGATCTCAGCAAAAAGTTCATCCACCATTGATTTACTTTTTGCTGATGTTTCCATGAAAGGACAGCCCCATTCTTGAGCCAGAGCTCTGCCTTCGGAAGACATAACCTCTCTTTCTGGCTCCAGATCCACTTTGTTTCCTACTAGGATTAGTGGAACTTTCTCGTATCTCTTGACTCGCACAATCTGATCTCTCATTGGCTTGATATTCTGAAACGACTGTTGATTAACCAAACTATACACCAGGATGAATCCTTGGCCGTTTTTGATGTACAGACCTTTCATGGAGGCAAACTGCTCGGTTCCTGCGGTGTCCAGAATTTCCAGTACTGACGGGGAAGAGTCCACTTCGATCTCTTTGCGGTAGAAATCTTCAATGGTGGGGTCATATTTCTCAATGAAAGTCCCAGTGACAAACTGCACAGTGAGGGCAGATTTGCCAACCCCTCCGCTCCCTAACACCACTACCTTGTATTCCCTCATGAGTCTCACCTTCGCCAACTCCTACCCAAGAGGGGGGGGGGAATAACACCCCGCTAGCTGTGCTGCAGCAAGGCCAGGCGGAAGCTCAAATTTTATTACTTCTTTGAGAGTTTGGTATATGTTTGATCATATTCCCAAATTCTTCTTAGTTCCATTTCCTCATTTTAAGGGTTTATATCTGTTTTAGTTAGGGTTTCATTCCTGTGAAGAGACATCATGATCAAAGCAACTCTTATAAAGGACAATATTTAATTGGGGTTGGCTTACTGCTTCAGAGGTTCAGTAGTCCATTATCATCACTGTAGAAAGCATGGCAATGTTCAGGCAGGCATGGTGCTGGAGGAGCCAAAAGTTCTACATCTTTATCTAATGGAAGCTAGGAGAAGAGTGGTTCCCAAGTGGCTAGGAAGAGGGTCACAAAGCCCAAGCCCACAGTGACACACTTCCTTCAACAAGGCCACACCTACTCCAACAAGGCCATACCTCCAAATAGTGCCACTCCCTGGGCCAAGCATCTTCAAACCACCATATTTTCTATACTGAATTTTGTTCAACTGATATACAACTCCATCATCTAGTCTTTTATATACTGTCTTAGTTACTACAGGTCTACAGTAAATTTTGAGGTTGAGTGCATGAATGTAGCAACTCTGCTATTTGGGACTTGACCTTCTGCATTTCCACATAAATTTTAGGATCATACTGTCAATTTTTTAAATGTTTGTACAATATTTAATTAATTTTTAAAATTGTATATGTGTGCACTATATTACACCATTCCACTTCCCTCCTCATCCTGATAAGGCTCTTCCTTCCAACCTCCTCTCAAATACATATATATATATATATATATATATATATATATATATATATATATATGCCAGTACAATCCAGAGTCCATTTAATGTTGCTTGTATGTGTAAGATTTATGGCTGACCATTTGGTATTCAGAGTCACTTGTGGGGCTTCCTCTTGGGAATGCTAATTCCCCCTCTCTCAGCAATCATTGCCTATAGCTCTTCATATATCTACATGTGTGGCCCCATAAGATACCTTGGCATGTAAATTTGTGTCATCATTGTTGAGTCTTGTTTAGGCTGCTATATTGTTGAGATTCTCTGAGTGCATCTTCCTGACACATTCTTATAGCAGACTTCGTGATCCCCTGGGTCTTACAATTTTTCTACCTCCTCTTATGAAATGTTCCTTGACCCTTAGGCATAGGGGTTGTATTTTAGATGTATGAGTTGAAGCTGGGCACACTATAGTCATTTCTCTGCATTTTAACCTGTTGTGGATTTCTGTAATGGTCTCCATCTTCTGTAAAAGGAAGCTTCCTGGATGAGTTGTGAGAGCTACATTTATCTGGAGTAGAATAAATATTTAGAATGCAATTGTGGATTATTCTGGGTTTGTAAAATGGTGGTAGTATTTTCTCTTTTAACATCCACATTCTCATTAGCCCTAGGTAGCTGATTACATTTCCAGTATCAGGCATAATTTCCCTATTGTTGAGTTGTGTATAAGTCCAAATAGACAGCTATTGGTCACTGACAACATATAACTGCCATTGCGGCTTCTTTATGACTATCTTTCAATGCTGGCCATTGTAGTGCATAGGCCCAGAAAGATATCCACAATGGTGGTGGTTTTGGGTGTAACCATCAGCTATTTAATTGGACTTATCTTGCCATCTACTAGTAGCTAGTGAGATCATGGGTCTTAGAGGAGATTCTTTCCTATGACAGTATAACTTCTGTCAATTTCATTTTAAAACCCTGTTGAGAGTTTTAGGAGAATTATGTTTAATACATAGGTTATGTCTTTACAATGTTGAGTCTTCTAAGCCATGCACATGGATTGTCTACTTATTTAAATATTAAGTTTCTCTCCACATATAATCTCTCCTGTCTGAACAATGTGCTGGAGCAATAGCTGCTCAGAACTTGTAGGAGTGGCCAACCAATGTTTAGTTTAACTTGAGGTTCATGCCATGAAAAGCAGCCCATGACATGAGAAGGAGCCCATGGCCTACACTGCCTCAAGGCCCAGGAACCAGGGAGCCAGAGACCTATTAGTATAAAACATGACTGGCAAATAGAAATCAGTGATATGCTGCTATACTCATAGATTGAAGAGACTTCCTCTGATATATGGGAACAGATGAAGAAACCCACAGCCAGACCTTATGTTGATAAAGAATCTAAAGTAGAAGTCTCCAACTGGTCCCTCCCTTCAGATAATAGGGAATCTCATGGAAGTGGGGAAAGAATGGTTGTAGGAGTCAAAGTGGATGGAGGTCACCAGGAGAACATGGCCCACTGATTCAACTAAGCAGGGCTCATATGGGGTCACAAAGACTGAAGTAGCAAGAGTGGGACCTGCATGGGTCTGTACCAGGTCCTCTGCATATGTGTTATGACTGTTAGCTTGCTGGGGTTTTTTTTTTTCAGGACTATGAGCAGATCTCGGAATCTTTTGCCTGCCCTTGAGACTCTTTTCCTCCTGTTGGGTTGCCTTGTCCAGCCTTGATATGAGGGCATTTGCCTTGTCTTGTATCTTTTTTTATTCTGTTTGGCTGTAGTCACTTTGAGGCCTCCTCTTAAGAGGAAACAGAGGGGTAGTGATTCTGGAAGAGGATTGGGAAAGTTGGGAGGAGTGGAGGAAGGTGAAACTGGTTGGGATATATTGTATAAAGAAGAATTTATTTTCAATAACAAATAATCATAAGTTTTCTTGGTAGTGTGCTTTAGTTTTCCATGGATAAACTACATACTTTACATAATAGTCCTAAGTACTTTATTATTTTTGAATGCTAGAATATATCAGATAATACTCTCAATTTCATTTTTGGATTATTATTATCATTATTCCATATATAGAAATATAATGGAATTTTCATCTTGTATCCCAAGATTTTTCTGTATTTTTGAGTTTATTAAGCTTTTTCTTATAGAATACTTTAAAAAATATCATCCACAGAGTTAGATTTACTTCATGCCAAATTTAGATGCCCTTTGCTTCTTATGCCAACCTTATTGTACCAAACAGAATTTCCAGGAAATATTAAATAGAAGTGGTGATAATTTATATCATTGTGTTTTGTCCTTATATTAAATAGTAAGGACACGGTATTTCTCCAGTAAATATGGTATCAGCAATAAGAGAATCATCTGAGAGTTCCAGTATACTTAGAAAATAAATTTATTTTGCTAATTTTAAGAATTTCTGGTTTTTTTCCTTTCTAAAGTTTGAATGTGATGTGGCTAGATGTCAATCCCTCTGTGTTTACTGATCTATAGATTAATGTTTCCACCCAAATTAGACATGTTTTAGCCATTATTTCATGAACTATCTATTCAGTCCTGATTCTTCTTTCTTTGGCTTCTTGAACATCTGGTAGAGAAATGTTGGAATGTTTGATGCTGTCCTACAGGTCATGGAGACTCTAATAACTGATATGAACTTTTTTCTTTTTTAGATTAGATGATTTCAAACAATGTGTCAAGTTCACTGACTGATATACTTTTTCAAATATAGTATTTGGCAAATAAGAGGAATACTTTGTTTTAGTTATATCTTTAATTTTAAAGTAACATTTAAAATATACTTGCTACATATTCTTTGAGAAAGTCAAACATGCATGCAATGTATTGATAATATTTACTCCCCAACTCTACCATTCAACTCTTTGTAGATCACCGCCATGTCCACCTCCCAACTTCATGACCTCTTTTTAAAAAATAACCCAGTAAGTAAAGCTAGTGTGGTTCATATATACAAGAGTGGGCACATCTAGTGGACCGTGGTCAATTTTTATTCTTCATTAAAATCCAGTACTTACAGGTCACTGTCTTCATGCTTTCCCTTATTTCTTAAACAGTGCTATCATTTACTTTAGTATCTACTTGGAGCTATTAGTTTGCTAAAGTCAATCGCTAGAGTCACACAGGCAGTTTGCATTTTTTTCCTTTCTTAACAGAGTTTATATCACGGTTCTTTTTATGTCTAAAACTTCTAAACTACATATTTTATGCTACAAGTTGTAGGTTTTTGAAGTTTTTCCCCTAAAGGTGCTTGGTGGTGGTATTTTTGTTTGTTTCATTTCTTAGTGATTGTCCTTGAATTAATCTCTAGGTTTTGTTCCCCACACTGGGTGGCCTCTGCTAGCTTGGCTCATTTCTTTAAATTCTTAGTTTTGCTTTCTACCCTGGCTTCCTAGGGGGTCACTCTGTGTTTACATAATTTAATGGTCAGTGAATGATCAAAGGTTGTGATCAAACAACTTTAGTCAGTGGGGCCCTTGCGCATGGTTTTGTGTATTTATACAAATTGGGTTCATTCTTTACCCTCCAGACACTGGGTCATTTAAGGGTTCTAATTACATTTACATAGTTTACATAGTCTTCTGGTTAGCCAAGACTATTTTCTTATGGTTCTCTGATATACTGGATGCTCATGTAACATTTCAACTGTTTATTGTTTTGCTCTTGGCTGTAGCCTGCTCATATTCTACCAGATTTTCTACTTTTATTAACAGTGCCACTGAGCATAGTGTTTCCATCCTTCTTTGCCAGTCATGGTATGATTTTACTGCCCATATTGTGAGAGTAGAACTAGTTCAACTACTAATACAGTGATAACATTGGAGAAGACAGAACCTTATAGATTTTATTGCTTTTTCCTGAAGATCAATTTTTCATGAGTGAACACTTTTTTTATTTTTTGTTTACTCTTACTTATTGTCAGATATCTGAAATGATGGTTGGGTTTATAGAAAAACAATATTATAGCTGGTGGTGGTTATGGTGGTACATGCTTTTAATTTTAGCACTGAAGAGGGAGAGGTAGGTGGATCTCTAGGTGTGAGGACAACCTTGTCTTACACATAGTAAGTTCCATACCAGCCAGTTCTACATTGTGAGACTTTGTCTCAAATACAAAAACAAAAGAATATCCCCAAATCTCCAATATTGTGTCATTTTATAGTTGTGAAGGGTTAGGCAGAGAATGTTTTCTAT